GTTATGCCCAGAAAGGCTCACTATTGGACTTGACTACAACCTAATGTCTACAACAGAGGAACAAGAATTGAATCATTCTCTTCAACAAATAGTGCTGGGAAATCTGGATATCCACAGGCAAAAGAATGAAAATAAATCCTTATCTTACACCATACACGAAAATCAACTCAGAATGCATTAAAGACTTAACTGTGAGACCTGAAACCTCCTAGAAGAACACACAGGGGAAAATTCTGTAACATTGGTCTTGGCAATGTTCTCTTGGATGTGACACCAAAACCGTAAGTAACAAAAGAAAAAATAGACAGTGAGACTCCCTCAAAATAAAAAGTTTCTACACACCAAAGGAAACAATCAACAGAATGAAAAGGCAACCAGTATAAAGGAGAAAATATTTGCAAACTGTTATGCCTGATTAGGGGTTAATATCCCAAATATATAAGGTATGTCTATAATCCAATATCAAAAAACACAAATCAAGCAAATAACCTGATTAAAAATGGGCAAAGGATTTGAGCAGCCATTTACCTAAAGAAGGCATTCAAATGGCCAGGAGGTAAATGAAAAGATGCTCAGCATCACCAATAATCAAAGAAATGCAAATAAAAACCATAACAGGATAATCACTCACACATATTAGGACGGCGGCTATCCAAAAAAGACATAGCAAGTGTTAGCAAGGAAGTGGAAAAATCGAAACTCCTGTGCACTGTTAGTGGAACTGTAAAATGGTGCAGCCACTATGAAAAACAGTATGGGAAATTTTAATTAAAAAACATTTTTTAAAAATTGAAATAGTGCTACCATATGATCCAGCAATCCCATTTCTGGATATTCATCCAAAAAAACTGAAAACAGGTTCTTGAGGTATTTACCGTCCCTTGTTCATCGCAATTATTCGCAATAGCCAAAAAGTGGAAACAACCTAAATTTCTATCAACAGATGAATAAATACAATATTTATATACACACCTAAACAAAGACACACACAAGAGAATATTACTCAGTCTTAAAGAAGAATGAAGTGCTGACCTATGGCATGACACAGATGGACTGGAGGACATTATGCTGAGTGAAATAAGCCATCACAGAGGAACAGACACTGTATGATTCCACCTGGGTGCCGTGTCTAAAGGAGTCAAACTCATAGAAGTAGAAAGTGGAATGGTTTTACCAGGGGTTGAGGGAAGGGAGGAATGGAGAACCGCTGTTCAATGTGTATAGATTTTAGTCATGCAAGATGAAAAGGTTCTAGCAGTCTGTTGTACAGCAATGTGCATACAGTTAATAACCCGGACTGTATACTTAAAAATATGTTAAGAGGGTAGATGGCATGGAATGTGTTTTTTGTGACAAAAAAGGGAAGTAAATCATCTAGAAAACGGTTACTAAGAATATTATAAGTGTTTGAAGGCGCATGGCTAAAAGACTTAGACTTTAATATGTTAAGTTAGGGCATAGCCCTTTTAAGGTCAAAGAACCATGATAATCTGATGACCCTCCCTAAGAAAGAATAAACATACCCCCAATACCCAACCATTAAGTACAGGGTCAGAGGCCCATGCTAATTTTTTAGAATATGAATACACTGTGTGACTATGATTCCTAAGTATTAAAAAAGCATAGAAAAAAATGCATAGAAGCAAACAGTCTTAACTAGGATTAGATGATGGGATTATGAATGATTTCTTTCTACTTTTCTCTAATATAAAAAAGAATTCATTTTTATAATATCACTACAGAGGGAAAAAAACATATGCTTGTAACAAACCAGTACTTTTAGTCTTGTTTTGGAAACTTGCCTGAAGATGAAAAATTTATCTTTAATTTTTGTAACATTAATGTAACATCCTTCAAACTAAAAACGTGTCTCTTTGCAGGGAAAGCCTTGTGATGTAGATGTGGCATACTAAGAACACACAGCACTAGGGAAATCTCAGATCTGTGTGAATCACTGACAGAAATGCTCCCCCACCATGTAAATCTTGGCATTGCTAAGGAAGAGCAGTGTGGGCGGGGAAGCATATTTGCAGGGAAAGCAGAAGAAAAAGCTAAAAAGCCAGTAAACCACAACAGTACATAGATGAAGGTACAGACCCGAGGTGAGTGTAGCCCTTCATTTGTCCAACATCATGAGTGAAATTTTCTTTAAGAAATTGAGAATAGGCCATTTAAACTCAAAGCTCTACTTTATCCCCCTTAAATGGAGAATAATTCTAGTGGTTTAGAGATTTTCCTTTTTGAGCTGTGTACCCAGTTCTTGAAAATCACGGCAACATTAAGATGCTAATATCCCTAATCACCTTCAAAAGAGGGTACACAGTAAACACATACTCAATGCACTGCCATGAGAGACCACAGAGGGGAGAGACTAATTCTGGGAAGAGGAAGGTACAGGCTTCCTGGTGGTGACTTAATGGTGGGGGTGAAGGAAAAACAGGATTTCCTCAGAGGAAGCAAAGAGGGAAGAGGGGGAGAATGTTTCTGGAGCAATGAACAGACTGCTAAAAGGAGCTGGGGAAAAATGAAAAACAAGTTGGGTCAGATTATGAAGGGTCCTGAAGAGCCACCAAAGAGCGTGTGCCTCCCGTGGGGCTGGGGACACAGCTGCAGCCCCTCAGGAGGGAAACCACAGTGTGGTCTGTGACGAGGGGCTTGCTCCTTCTGATCTGCTGCTTTCTAAAGCTTTAGAAATCCTTTGTTCAGAATATAACTGATTGCTTAAGAGCAGACACCCTGGCTTTTCACTATTTTTACTTATTTTCCAGTTCTGAGGTGTGACACTCAATGAATACTAATTGATAATCTAAATTTACTGTCACTTGGCTATTTTTATGATTAGTTAAAAAAAAAATTTTTTTCTCTTGTGAACTTGTTCTTATTGGAATATAGGGGGTGAGGTGGGGTGAAAATGTCACCATGGGCTATGCCCAGACAGGGAAATGTCCAGTCTAATCTTCCTGGGATCATTTCTGCAACTTTTTCTTTTTCTTTGAGATGCTCTTGCTGCCAGTGGCCTCTTCAGGTCCACTGCTGAGTGGCTCTTCCTTAGAAGAGAATATCCTCTTTTTCTTGGGGACATTCCTATTTCCTGACTCTTCAGGGTCACTACCTGGTTCTTTGGGGAGAGATTTCTTCCTCTTGGGAAGCTGCCTCTTTAAGATTAGCACTAACCAGCTCCTCCTTGGAAAAAGATGTCTTTTTCTTGGGTTTGGAGAGAGAGACAGACAGGTCCTCTTCCATTCCATTCTCCTGGGGAGCCTCCTGGGGATTTTTCTTTTTCTTCTTTTTCGGTCTTTCAGTTTGTCTCCTCACACTCCTCTGGGGTGCTACTGCTGTTTTCTGGAGATGCAAGGGCAATTGCAGCCAGCTGTTTCTTTTCTTTCTTCATCCGTTACTTCTCCTGTTTCTCCAGCTCCCCAGTTATCTCAGCAGCCACTTCCTCTGCCTGAACCATTGCCTCCTTCATAACATCCAAATTCTTCTGTGGAATCTCTCCTGTCTCATAAAGGATAGCCGCCCCTCAACTTGTTCTTGAAGCTTCTCCCCAAAAACACTTGTGGGCACCTCAGAGAAGCAATCAATTCAGGAGGCAAAACTGCTTTTGTTTGCCAGGTATCAGGTGATGCGGCCTTTGTTCTTGGCAGCTGTCTGGCCAATGAAGGTGGAGTGCAAAATAAGTCCGTATTTAGATGTGTTACCCCTTGTCTTCAGGGCTCTGGAAACTTGGTCCCTTTGCTGAGCCCTGAGAATCACTCAGACACTAGGACTGGCTAGTTTTAAATTTTAATAAAATTTGAATGAACATTTTTAAGTTAGCTGGAAAAATATTAAGAGATTTTACCCGATACCATTCTATATACAATAACTAAGTCTACAAACACCATGTTGGTTATTATCCCCTGGGACTAAGCTAGATAAACACAGCCTTCCCCAGCTGTGGCACTGTGCACCACTCTTTCATTTCTCGTTTTGTGAAAAGATGGCCTGAGTAAAAAAAACCTCAGGAGTAATGTGTGATCACTTATCTCTGTCACTCTGGATATCAACACAATAAACGAAAGCTAGTAACTGCATAAATCATCTCATACACGACCACCCCATCCTTTTGCTACAGTACTGCAACAGAACGAGAAAACAGCCTTCTTTTATCATTTTTCATCAGAAAGGTCTTCATCAGACATTTTGCTAGGAAAATTATGCCTTGTAGTACCCGATGTGGACTGCAGAAAGTTTCCTAGAGGTCAAAATGTGCTTTATGATACCGAGAAACTGAAAATAGCCCTCACCGATGTGCCAAGCAGGCACTCAAATACGGGTGACTCATAAACACATTCATCTTCTGCATGAAAGATTATAGAAATACCCTCTATCATGATTTGACTCCCTCAAAATCAGATTCAGAAAAAAATGCATGGGAAATAGTGGGCATTTATTAGTGAATCACATGGTTAACCATTAACACAAATATTTTCTATAACACATACCTGCTAAAACGGCACTCATACATACAAAAAAATACTTCTCCTACTTTGGGGTTTTCCCTGTTATCTTTTTGCCAATACTGATAAACTATCATTTACTTATAGAGACATAGAATGTCACTTTAGTCAGTATTTTTTACCATTCATATTCACAACAAGGTTCATTTCCTGAATTGGGTCTAGGTAAGACTATAACTGGTGTTGAAATGCCTACCAAATGCATCAATACTATTGGTATCTCCATATTTTTCAAATTTCAGACTTCCTGACCTGGTCTGCCTAAGGTAGGTCTATCAATTTATCCTTATTATATGAAGCCCAAAATCGGCCTAAGAGCTGCTTGAATTTATCTTTTGCTTAAAACTGGGGCTGATAACCATAGACTATCAAGGGCCTCAACATTCACTGGTTATAATTCATATTTTTATAACTGGTGTTATTGAAGACACGATATTGTGGTCACTAAACACTTCTCTGCTATTTCAACGAGTTCCTGTGGGGGTTCCACAGACTCACTTTTGGCACATGAGGATTGAATTCCACAGCTCTGTGAATGGCCTCTACTGCATTCATCTCTGCTGTGCTCAGTCCCCGCCGAGATGCAGCCTCGGGAGAGAACCTGAAACGCAGAAAGACAAACACCATCCAGGTGGGACCAGTGCTTGGGCATCAACCCGGAAAGGCATTGACATATCGTGGGCCCACAAAACCACAGCGAGCCAATGGCGCGAGCTCTCCACACCTCCACTATATGGAACCTCTGAGTGACCCCTCAGACCGAGGCCAAAAAACCCCAGCAGAAGCAGAAAGCGTGCTTGCATCTAATCATGGCAGGAATTAAATTCACCAGTTGAGTCTCTGTCTAAGTAGCTAAACTAAATTTTCTACGAGGTACCTGCTTAGGTCAGGAGAGGGCTCAGGGCTGACGAGGGCAGACAGTGTAGGAAAAAGAGGGAGCTCAGTTACAGAAGAGCGCACTTGGTTAAAAACAGAACTGGGGGGAATTTTAAAGGAGGCTCCCGGCCCAACGTCAGTGCTGCATAAAGGGTTAAGTAGTTGCAGCTTCAGCGGCAGGAGAGCCTGCTTGGGGCCGGTTGGCAGGGGCGTGCGCATGCCCAAACTGCGGGCCAGACATCTGCCCGGGCGAATGAAAAAAACCAGACCATGCAATCTCTTTCTCACCTCACACCCAGGGCTAACTCCAGAGCTGTGCTTGGCAGGCAGACACCACAGGGGAAGCTGTGACAACCCTGGCCCTGCCCTCCCAAGCTGGAGTCGCTGTGTAGGGAGAAAAGATGTTGCAGTAGGTACTGGCGATCTACAGGATAAAAAAGAATGAAAGAAAATTACTTCGGTCTTGAAGTGCACACACACTTAAAAGCAAACCTGTCTGACATAGCAGAGGCTGTTTTCTTTCCTGTTAGCTCTGTTTGGGGCAATGTAAGCGTTTATGAACTCAAAAACAGTTACGCCATCTATTCTCTTTCACCTGACAGTCATTTTGGGTGTTTATAATCTCTAGGCCACAGTAACCTGCCTGAACAAAATGTGCAAATGTCCCCCTAAGTTGGCGGCTCAGAGTGAACAGACCCTGGGTGGGGAGTTAGTCTGGAGCTGATGAGGGGAGAATGGGAGATGACCATTCCCTCTGCCATTGTACAGTTTTGTTAGGACTACTACCTGGTCTGGGACTGCAGATTGAGGGGAGAATGGGAGATGACCATTCCCTCTGCCATTGTACAGTTTTGTTAGGACTACTACCTGGTCTGGGACTGCAGAAGGAAGAATACACAAAAAATGAATAAAGGGAAGGTATTTGTATAAGTCCCAAGCAGGCCCTTTGTATCTACTGTCTGGCAAAAAAAAAACAAAAACAAAAACAAAGTCACCTCAGAGGCACAGAATTTCAAGTATATCCCCTCTTTAGGCACCCATACACCCTTACAATGCTTGGGGATATAAATTCCCTCCTTCTAGTACTGAAAGAAAGGATCAGCAGGTCTTGGAATGTGCATGCTCATAAGCAGGGGTCTCATAGACTTAGAGAAACTTCCAGAGAAAGCCCTCAGAGGCACTCATCACTTTAAATCGGGTCAGGCATTTGGTACCACAGAAGTTACTATTCACTTACTTGTCAGAGACCGCTCTCGCTTTGAGCAAGGCAGCTGTGTAGCATATTGTTGCCGACTTTGGTAAGCTTATATCTATGAGAGAAAAAGAAAGTAGAAACTCTTTTAGGTTTGCAGAAACAAACAGCAATGATTTTTAATACACTAGCATTGTAATCATGTAAGTCTAATAAAGCATAAAGTAAGAATATTTTAATACAGTGCATAGCTATTCCTTATGTATCAGGGTGGTATGTGAAACTAAGTGGAGTTCATATTTTTGTCAATAATTCATATATAAAATCCTCCAGACTGACTCTTTAGCAATCCTATTTCAAAAATATAGATTTTCATATGTTGAGTTTGTTTAAGCAAATAGCTATAAATCTATACTTCAAATAGTACATGAATACCCTCAATAGGGCTTCTGTGTCACTTATAAAAATGTCTCATCAAGCATATGAAGTACTAATGTAAAGAAAAAATATTACCTGGATTGAAAAAAGAAATTACATATCTCTAGTAGTCAATTTTAAACTAGATATCTTTTGCACTAAATTTCAAGAAGTTTATATTCAGTTTTTTGTTAAAAGTGTAACGTATATATATGAGAAAGCTATATAAGGATATACATATATGAAATCTTTAGAAAACTGTACAATATTTGTTCATTCAAATCCATGGTAAATCCCCTTTCATATGAAGACTGATTTGTTTCCCAGAAAAACAGTTCCTCTCAGTTTGTATAGAACATTTCAGATGGAGTGGTGGGAGTGGGAAACAGACCCAGATAATGAGTTTACAGGGAAACAAAAGTACGGGTTACATCTGAGAGTACATAAACCCCCAAAAGGTAGCCCCTTTGGAGGAAGTATTTGTTTTTACATCATGATTCTATTTCTTACCACAATAGTATCTCTTTAACACTCAACCAAATTTATACTATGACACAGAAATACCTTCTTAATTCAGACCAAGTAAAATTATGCCATTCTCAGGGTTGCAAAATTCACTCTAGGTTAGAGGAACTCTTAACACCTGGAATGCCCTGCAAGTTTCTTCATGAGGCTGTCTTCAGCTTAGAAAGAATTACATTACAGTAGGGATGAAAAGCCAAGTCCCATAACTAGCCAATAGCAGCAGAGGAAAATAATTCCACAATAAAAAAACAATCCTTCATCCAATAGCAAGTATTTACCACCAATTCCAGCATGAGGGATTTCTTTGAAGGAATTTTCAATGACATTGATAAAATATACATAACCATAGAAAATACCAATAAGAACCAAAAGGGAAAGAGGTCTTTATAACCCTGACCTCATAAATTATATTCTAAAAAATTTCACCACCATATGCATAGTATAAAATGGTGTGCTTGTGACTAAGGAGAAAAAAAAAAAGAATGTTGGATGCTCATGGATTTGCCTTATTGCTTTTCCAACATCCAAATATTTAACTGCTTCCTACGTGGGAAATCAACTGAGGAATTAAGTATTTGTTTGCCAGGGTCCCTCATTGTCAGTGATGTTAAATAGAAAAATTATATTCTAAATATTGGCTGAAGCTAGTTCATGGGCAAAAATATTGGTGGAGCCAGACAGCACAGACGAATGCAGAACTTACAGGAAGTGCTGTCAAATCCCAGGTCAACCAGATGCACTTATACACCTTTATGAAAGTTAATGTGTTTCTTTTTCAGTGTGCAGTCATTAATCATAGTTTAATCTAATAACTGCCCAACATCTACATCAGAGGCAGAAACTACATGTTCTGGCTCACCTTTGAGAAATACCATATACACTACCTTTAGGAAAAAGCTAATTATTATGGGTGGCTTGCCCCATGAGCACTACCTCTTTCAGTTCTTAAAAAAAAAAAAAACAGCTGAGACTTGGTTGCTGCTGCCCATTATAAAATTTGGAACTTACTATTTTGAAATAATTATAAGTTCACAGGAAGTTGTAAGAATAATACACAGAGGTCTGTGAATGCTTTTTTCAGCTTCCCCCAATGGTAACATCTTACTTAACTGTAACTAACATACCAAAAGCCTGGAAACTGACATTGGCACAGTACTACTAAGTCAGTTACAGACCTTGTTCAGTCTTCACCACTTTTTGCATGCATTCATGCGTGTATGTACAATTCTATGCAATTGTATCCTACGGCGAGATTCCTGTAACCCCATTGCTATCCAAATATACAACTGTTCCAAAGGAACTTTCTTGTGCTACTCCCTTATTTGTACCTTCCCCATGCATCCCTGCCCCCAGTGACCACTCATCTGTTCTCTATCTCTGTAGGTTTGTCTTCCTGCTATAACTTTATGCTTTGACCACTAGGGCAATGGATAAAATAAGAATAGAGAGGCTAACAGTAGTGATGAAAATGGCAGGGTCAGAAGTTTTGAGCAGGAAATAACAAATCAGTTGCTTTCCCATACTGCTTGTAATTTATCCAGAAATTTTATTTCAGGAAGAAAATTTCAAAATAATTCTAAGTCTAATTTTATATAAACAGGCTCTAACTGTGCAGTCCCTTTCTGTCTTTTGTAAGTGGCATGTAGCTATCATTATTAGCAGAAAGTCCCCTTAAGAATGAGAATTTGAGGAGGAATTAACAGGAAAGGAAATAATGAAATATCACATAATTCCATTACTCATTGTAGAAATGAGGAATGACAAATGAATGTTTCTCACTTAAGCAAAGCTGAACTGCTGGCATTAATTTAATTTTCCTTCCACTTTTTGGGCATTTTGTGTTTCATACAGGTCCCTTTCTGAAAGGGGAAGAACTTTCTCCAAGCATCAGAGATGTGCACAAATTGTCATGAAAGTCTTTCATTAAAATCTGCAATCTTGAACTTAATATAATTGGACTCATAGAATATGTACTCTTATATGTCTGGCTTCTTTCTCTCAGCATGATGTTTCCGAGATCCATTTGTGTCGTCGAATGTATCAGTACTTTATTCTTTTTTATTGCAGAATAGTATTTCATTGTGCAGATATACCACACGATGATAAACAATATACAATATGTTTATTCTCTTGCTAATGACTATTTGGATGGTTTTCCAGTTTGGGGCTATTATGAATAAGAGTGTTGTGACCATTCTTGTGTGAGTTTTTTTCTAAACACACACACACATTCATTTCTCTTGAATCTGTAACTGGAAATGGAATTGCTGAGTCAGATGGCAGATGTATGTTTAAACTGGTAAGCAGTTCTCCAAAGTGGTTATATGAAGTCTGCAGAACTAATATATGGTAGTAGAGGTCAGAAAAATGGTCACTTCTAAGTTGGAGGGCAGTTACTGGCTGTAAGGAGATATGAGGCAACTTTCTGAAATGATGGGAAGTTCTATGATCTGGGTGGTGATCACTTGGGTGTATATGAAAAGTGAAAAGTCATCCAGTTCTACACTTATAATTTGTGCATGTTACTATATGTGATTTGTATCTCAATAAAAAAGAATTTTTAAAAAACCCTATGAATGTACTATATGAAGCTGAGTTCTCTCAATTCATTCTAACCTTGGTAACATTTTATTTGCCTGTTAGCATTCTGGCTCCCTGCATTCTCTCTATGCATCCTAATTTAAAGACGACTTACTAGTTTTGCCTTCCACAAAACAAAACAAAACAAAACAAAAACAAAATCTGATTATTTCTCACATCAGCCTTTCAAATATTAAGATGGTTAGAATATTTCTAATATTCTAAACCTAATCTTGTCCAGAAAAAATACTGCTAGTTCTTCAACTGATATATTTTTCGGAACTTCTTGCTTGTTTTTGTTACAGAACCATGGGTGGTTTCCAAATATGAAAATTACAAGTGGAAATGATCCTCCAAACCCTGAAACTTGAGCAGCACAGAGCTCAGGGGAAACGCACAGCCTCAGAAGCTATGGCCACTACGCCTTTCTGAATTCAGCTAGGATGGCCCTGGTGTGGGGCAGCTGGAACTCCTCCTCTGTTCCTGTGATTAAGGGGGTCAAGAAAACCCCCCAGATTATATTCAAATGATTTTAGCCAATGCCAGGTCTTTTCTCTTTCAGTTAAACCATGAATATGTTTAAATCTGTAAGCAGGATTTGACATTTGACTCCATTAAACTTCAAATCTTAAAATGAAGTCTAACCCACTAAACCGTAATGATTTCAGCATATCACTCCAGACTGTCAGTCATCGTTCTGGCTCCAGCTGCCACCCACAGCTTTGTTCCACATACTCCATAAACTTGCCTTCCCCATATGACCATTATCATATCAAAATTACTTCTAACATTTATCAAGGGTTTATTAAGTGCCAGGTATTGGTGTTAACCACTTACACACATTCTGCTGTTTAGCAACCCTCAGAACCATCCTATGAGATAGGACCTACTGTTAGCTCTGTTTTTATAGACTGGGAAACTCAGGAATAGAATGGTTAAGAAATATGCCAATATCACATGGTTAGAACAAATATGAGCTGTCCCCAGAGCACATGATCTGTAACTATGCTATGTTGTCCATAAGCTCTGATTTTTTTTAAAAAAAACTGACCATGGCAATACCAAGGAGAGAATCCAGGAATGGTATTCTATATCACTCTAAATTTGCAATAGTCTGCAATGGTATATGTGCAAACATTTATTAATGGTTATAAGAGATACAATATCATTTATACCATAAAATTATACCATTTATTAAGGTATGACTTATACCATTAAATTATACCATTTATTTTAACAGTATGATAGGTATAATGACCACATTGTTCCACATTAAAAGATAGCATTAAAAATATCAAATGCTTTATTTAAATAAAGATAAATACTTCTGTGGCATACTTCTAATTCAGAAATATGAAGGAAAATTGCCATTTAAATTAATAGGAAGCACTTAATTACTACTGCATAAAGTAGAAATATTTTCACATCCACTATCCCCTCTGTTTTTATCTGACACAAATTTCTTAGTAAGTGCATGTTGGTCTTTAATCACCTCTTTCTTTCCTAAGTGCTCATAAACCACATAATTATCTCTTCTAGAACTCCACTAGATTGACTTATTTGCTGAAATTCTAAAAAAAAAAAAAAATCCAAAGT